GTGGTGACCTTTCTGGAGTCTCTGATTTTACTAGACTTTGATACTCAGGGAGGGATGGACCCCTGTGGTATAGGAATAATTATAAAGGCTACAGGTTTTTTGAGTATTTACTAGATGCTAAGCAGTTTATGTACTTTAGTTCCTTAATAACTTGACCCCATTTTACAGGTGAGGAAACTGAGTCTCAGATTAACGTGCCTTAGGTCACATGATAAATGGCAGATTTGAATTTAGGTCTGTCTATGAAGCTGGTGTTGTGTGAATTACCTGTTTATGCTTTTGCCTATTTTTTTTTTTTAATGGGGGCATTTGTCTTTTCCTGTTAATTTATACAATGTTTTTAATGATAAAAATTCATTTTATGGTCATATTTGTTACAAGTATTTATCCCCATTTACTTTTTTGACAGTCTTAGACATAAATTTTAATTGCTTCAAAGCAACATGACTCAGTTTTATACTTAAAGAGTACCCATTTTAACTGCTATTATGGTGAAGTTAGTATGTTTGTAACCGTTTAGCTAGACACAAATACTTTTTAAAAATAAAATAGTTGGATTCCTAGCTCTGGCCGGTTAGCTCAGTTGATTGGAGCATTGTCCCAAGGCACCAAGTTTATGGGTTCGATCCCCCATCAGCGCACATACAAGAGTCAACCAATGGAATGCATAAATGGATGGAACAGCAGGTCAATGTTTCTCTCTCTCAAATCAATATATAAATTAAAAGCCCTGGTTGGTTTATTCAGTGATTAGAGCGTCATCCCATGGACCGAAGGGTCTTGGGTTCAATTGCCCATCAAGGGCATGTGCCTCGGTTGCAGGTTCAAGCCTGGTCCTGGTTGGGCTCCTGGGGGAGGCAACCAGTGGATGGTCTCTCACATTGATGTTTTTCTCCCTCTTCTCCCGCCCTTTCACTCTCTCTCTAAAGATCAATGAAAAAAACATCCTTGGGTGAAGATTAAAATATATATATGTTAAAAAAAATAGTTGGAACCCTCAAAATAAAATGTTCTAAGAGACCACCCATTAAAAGTTGAGTTTTCTAATCTGGCCCAGTGATTCTATTACAGACACTCCCGAGTTGCCAGAAGAGGGGTGAGAAGCAGGGAGGGTGTTGGGAAAGAGAGGGTGGTTCAGGATTGTGGTCCCATTTTAACTTGAGAGATGGCAGGGTCTGGAAGGGACGAAGGCCCCAAAGCTGGAGCCTTTGGTTCAGATGGCAGAGGCTGCCCTCAAGGCAGCAGCGTGTACCCACAGGCTGACCAGGAGGTCAGCCTTAGGAGCCAGGAGGTTTCTTATCGGCGCCCATCTCCTTTCTCGTTTCTTCAGATATTGAAGCTAGGTTTGGTATGTCCTGGGTCAGGTACATTCCAACTATTTTGCCAGGAGGAACACAATGCCTGATCATCTTTTTTGTGTGTGAGCTTAAGAGCGATTTTAGGGGTGACAGCCTGACCCATCCTTATGAAGGTCCCCACCAGGAGGGTCTTGGTTCGCCTGGGACAGACCCAGCTTACAGCAGTTGCCCTAATGTAATTATTATAGTGCTGCCTAAACAAATGCCCCTGTCTGGCTGACAAATGATCTGTTCACATTACCTGTCTAGGTTGGTTTCCCCACACAGAGGGATTTAGGTGTGTGTGATTTCTTGAAGTAGGGCTCTTTGCAAAAACTTGGTAAGATAAAATAAGAGGGAAGCAGGTTACAGGGAAGGACAAGCTACAAGCAAGGCAAAGTCAGGCTTTGACTAGATTCATGGTGGGGATCGAGCTGCAATTACCCTGAAGAATTGAGGCAAAGGGCCAGCCTTTAGTACCTGCTTAGAATTAACTCATTGCCTACAGGTTTTGGTAAAGTAAGGTAGGTCCACAGAAGGTCAAAGTCAGAGAGAGGCAGCTGTGTGTTAGTAACAGCTGGGGAGATCTCGGAGGGAGTACTGTAACTACCCACCCGCCTTCCACCCAATGATTTTATAAAAAGTGCATTTTTTTTTTTTTTTAGTCCTCACCTGAGGGTATTTTTTCCATTGATTTTCAGAGAGAGTGGAAGAGAGAGGGAAAGACAGAAACATCGACATGAGCGAAACACATTGATTGGTTGCCTCCTACACATGCCGTGACCAGGGTCCGGGGCGGGGAGAAGCCTGCAAGCGAGGTACGTGCCCTTGACTTAAACGGAACCTGGGACCCTTCGGTCTGCAGGCCCAAGCTCTATCCACTGAGCAAAACCAGCAAGGGCCCACCCAATGATTTTAATAGCCATTGGTGACCGGAAGTTGTCAGTTGGAGAAATTGTCATTTATTGGCTTAAAAGATACAGTGCAAACCAATGTTTTCAGTGTGGCCTCATTTCTCTCCCAGGTCTGTTTGTGCTACAACAAAGGTGAAGCCCTGTATGGCTACTGCATCCTCAAGGACAAATGCAACAAGTTTCATGTGTGCAAGTCCTTTGTCAGGGGAGAGTGCAGGCTTCAGAAATGCAAACGGTCCCACCAACTCATCAACGCGGCATCCCTGAAGCTGCTGGAGGACCAAGGACTGAATGTGTCCAGTGTCGTTAACTTCCAGATCATCTCTACCTACAGGCACGAGAAGCTGCACAAGATGCTTGAAAATAAAGGTGAGAATGTCAGAGGTAGACAAAACTCCATCACTGAGGTAGTTTTTTAAAAACACACACATATTTTTATTGATTTTAGAGAGGAAGGGAGAGGGAAAGAGATAGGAACATCAATGATGAGAGAATCCTTGGTCGGCTGCCTTCTGCATGCCTCATACTGGGAATCGAACCTGCAACCTGGGCATGTGCCCTGATTGAGAATTGAAATGGTTACCTCCTGGTTCTTAGGTTGATGCTCAACCACTGAGCCATGCTGGCCAGGCCTCACTGATGTCGTTTTGATCTGAAGGTGAGTCTGGGGAGAAAGCACTTCAAGTGTTTAGAGCTCTGTCCTAGGGGAAGTTTAGGACAGTCAGTGTTTTATGATACAGAACTGTGATTGTAACCAAAGAAGGGAAGGGATGGAGTTATTTCCAGGGCTGCCAGCTAATGGCACCTGCCCAGTGTGTGAACACTAGCTCCTTGGTAAATTGGGGGTCAGGAGATAGATAGACCAGTCTTTTTTTTTTTTAAATATATTTTATTGATTTTTTTACAGAGAGGAAGGGAGAGGGAAAGCGAGTTAGAAACATCGATGAGAGAGAAACATCGATTCAGCTGCCTCCTGCACATTCCCTACTGGAGATGTGCCCGCAACCAAGGTATATGCCCTTGACCAGAATCAAACCCGGGACCCCTCAGTCCGACGCTCTATCCACTGAGCCAAACCGGTCAGGGCAAATAGACCAGTCTTAACAGCTTCATTAGGAAAAGAGAGGAGGGAGATGGACCAGTGACTAGAAAGGTAAGGATAATGTAGGGATGGCTTTCTTTTATTAAATTGAATTAAAGTTTTTTCTTTTTTAATTGTTAGGAAATTTTAATCACATTACTGAAAAATTTGGACCATAGAATAAAGATAAAAATTGCAAAAGGTCACTCATTCAAATGCACAGTAATTGTTACCGTTTACTCGCAAGCCTTTCAGTTTTGTTACTATACGAAGACTAGTCCAGGTGTAGTCAAAGTATGTTTTGGTTTAGCATCTTAAACTGTCACTCTATGCAACATCATAACCATCTTCCTATCGTGAAGCTTAGTCTGTCACTTTATAAGGTCTACAAAGTATGATTGGTGTTCTTTTCATTGGAATGCTTTCAGGTTACTTATTCTGTTAGATTTGCCTGTAGCTAAAAATCAGTTTCAGTGGGTGGTAGACTCAGGAGAATTGTTGATGGGAAAACCATATAATTAAATCAGAGTCTCTAAGCTTTTACTGTGGACTTTTCTAATGTTGGGATGGTAGTGGCCGACTTCCTAGGCAGGTAGTGAGAAGGTGGGGAGGGCTTTGCATATACCAGTGTCGGAGGCCATCTAAGGACCCTGAATGGTGGCAGGGACCTTCTACACTGTATTATGTATAGAGCCTGTCATTATCTTCATCTGTTGTTTTGTGGCTCTCCCCTAACTATGAGATAGTTTCTTTCTGGTTGCTCTGTGTGTGTTTAATATTATATATATATATTTAAATATACTTTTATTGATTTCAGAGAGGAAGGGAGAAAGAGAGATAGAAACATCAGTGATGAGAGAGAATCATTGATTGGCTGCCTTCTGCACACCCCACACAGAGGATTGAATAGCCCACAACCTGGGCATGTACCCTGCACCGGAATTGAACCCCGAACCCTTCCGTCTGCAGGCCAGTGCTCTTTCCACTGAGCCAAACTGGCTAGGGCTAATATATTTTAAATCCAGAAGACACAAACTCTCCAAATCTAGACTTTTTTTCTGAGGTCTGATTCGCTGGACTAATGCTCCCAATATAAAATGAAATTTAGAAATGGTAAAAGGAGTGTCTTAGGAAACCTCATCTCTTCTTCTTAGATAATTCAGCGTCTTCTGTTGAGCACTCACCGGGCCTTGAGAAGCAAGGAAGACCGGTTCCTGGGGCTGCAGAAGCCCGTCCCCTGGCTTCTGGCCCTGCCCAGTCGGCCAAGAAGCCATGTGCAGGGAAACCGTGAAGGACGTCGCTGAAGTAAGAAGCTCAAGAAGCTCGTCCAGTTGGAAGGTCTGGAAACAAAGCTTCCGTTTTGAGCTTTGATTTGCAGCTATTCATTCATTTAATTATTTCTTTAAAATACCTACCTCACTGGGTGTTGTGAGAATGAAAGAAGAAGGAAAAGGAGACGTTGTCAGATTTGGAGGATAAGGTTGGAGATGAGGTTGGACCTTGGGCAGGCAAAGAGAGGGTAAGCCTGAGTGCAGATGGGGTCCGTGCTGGGCAAGGCCTGGGATGGCAACTTCTGCCTGCAGCTCCTGAGAGCTTTCCCGGGCCGGCTGGCAGAGCTCGTAAACAGGCAGGTTTCGCTGACTTGCTCTGTGACCCGGCCACGTGTTTGTCTGCATGCCCATATATACAGTTTGAGTACGTCACCTTCATAAGCATCTTCTCATATTTGTTCACATTTATCATGCATCATCATTTTTATGCACAGATACATTTGTATATCATAGTTTTCTTAACTGTTTCTCTTATCCTGGGAAATTTTGATTCTTTCTAACAAATTTGGAATATAACTCTTTTCTTAAAATCCACACAACATTGAATTTTTACAGTTAGTCTTTTGCTTAGCTTATAGTTGCAAAATGAAACTGTCTTTTGATTTGCTTTTCTTTAGATTTATGTGCAAGCGAATATTTTTATGTGTTTGCTTTCTGTAGGTCTTTATTTTGTGCATTTTGCACATGCCCTTTAATTCCGGGGGCCTGTAATTACCTCTTTTGTGCCAATGTGGGATGGCCTTTAGTTAGGCTCCTTAATTTTTATGAAAGGCTGTCAGCCATACTGTGCTCATATAATATTCACCTCTTGTGGTTGCATCCTCGGGCAACACAGTATATAACTTTTGGGTGCTCGCCAGAGATTCCTACCTCACTTCTACTCTGCCCTTATGGAACTTTGTCCAAAGCCCAGTTGCTATGGTTTGAAGAATGTGTAGTTCATCCATTCCTCAAAATTGTATTCATTCTTTTATGGATCAGGATGGACCATCAGAGATCTATATACCTCGCCCATTTCATGTTCACTTCCCCCTCCCTCTCCTTTCTTCCCCCACCCAGATGTCTTCATCCAGTGCTGCTTAGATGTTTGGCTCTTCGTTTCCATCAAAGGGTACCACAGAGAAGCACTTTATGGAACCCTTCCCTGTTGTTTGCTGTCGTAATAGCCCCACATGTCTGTGTGGAGTGTTTTTAGAAATAGTTAACTGTCCTGCAATCGCATGACATTTGAGAAATAGGGGTAAGGTAGTGAGTTAACTTTAATTTAGAAATATTTTTGTCGTGAAGTTCTGTCTTTTGCATTGGGGGTGGTATTCAAAAAAAATGTCTTTTGTAAAGGGAGAAATTGCTGTGTTTTCTCCTAATGGAGAGTAAAAGTCATGCAACTTTTGTTAAACTTTTCAGTTTGGATGTCAACAATGGTGTTTCTGAAGTCCTCACAGCTTGCATATCTTGTTTCTTCTTCCTAGTTCTGATTTCTCCTGGTGCTAATTTTTTAAAAAATATTTTTACATTTTATTATTATCATTATTTACATTATATCATTGTACTACATATATTTTTGTTGTAAGCCATCTTCAGTCCTTAATGGAAACAGTGTAGTATATAAATGCATATCCTTTATAGTAAGAGACTTAGTAGACTTTTATATTATTGTGTTTCTTTCATATATAATTATGTGCTTATATATGAAGTTATTGACCCTTTGTAATATTTGTTGTAATATTTTATTCAATTCTATAATATTTCATTTTAACTTTAGTTCTTTGGTATTCATTCTCTAGAAATACTTTATGTAATCGTACCTGATGACCAGCTGTTACAGAGTTAGACTCAGAGATGTTTTCTTTGGCAATTTATTGGGCCTTACGAGATGAAGCTATACATCTCCAGGCTCCGCAAATTCAACATATCCTAAATTGAAAGATTACGTTTTCTCCAAGCTGTTCTTCCCCCTTCCCCTTCTCTTTTTAATTTTGGAGTTTTCACCATCTAATGACTTAAGCCCCCAAACTGCAAAGTGCCCTAATATTCTTCTCTCTCCTGTTCCCAGTGTCAAATTGGTTACCTAATGTTGGAGATCATTTTCCCCTCGAAAATCTCTCAAATTTTTATCCTTCTCTGTGCCTTTCTTCACATTTCCTACACACCGCCTTGTTTAAACCCCTCGTCACCTCCTACAGAACTCAGTGGTTTTCAAGTCATGTCTTGCGAGTGTTTTGTGGGAGGCGCTAGGTTACGCTCCTTCAATGGTGGTTGCCCCATTTTAATTGTTAATGTAATAGACTTTTGTGGATTTCATTGATCTCCTTACCCTTCACCTGCCTTAAAACCTGGTAAAATTAGATTCTTTAAATGCCAGGTTAACCTTTCCTGACCCCAGGAGAGTTCTCAGCTCTCTAGCATAGCACTTACTTCCTTACATTGCAGTGCCTTGTGCTTTTATTCCCTGGCTTTGAGCAAAAACATTATTTATTCTTCTTGGCAATTCTAACACTTGGTAGTTAGATATTTTTGCCATATAACGAGTTAAACTCTGCATTTGAATCAATTGAATCAACATTATATTGGTCTTCATTCTTCTTTTTTCTTCCCACATATATATTTTTAATTTTCAAAAAAATCTTTTTCTCCCTAAGGAATGTGTTACATAAGGTGTAAAGATCTTTATAATGCTTTAATTTGAATTGTCTAGGTCTAAAATGAACACTTTAAGAAAATATTTGTCTTTTAGTGAATTGCCTTTGTTCTAACAGCGTTTTTCCCCCCCTAAAATCATAGCTGCAAAAATATTTGCCTTATGTATCTATTTTGTGTTAAATAAAATTGTGATAAAAAGATATTTTTTGATATTTCTTCATTAAATATTAAGTTAATTATTAGTTTTAAACAAATATCTACTTAAAGGAAATAACAACTATTGTTTGTTAGAAACTTTTAGTAGGAATTGGTATCTTTTAATATAATCATATATTTTTATCATTTAAGTCACCCATATTATATTAATGGTTTTCACTATATTAAAACATCCTTAAATTCTGAGTAAACTCTACTTGATTATGGCATTATATTCTTTCGATGTATTTCCACCCTAATTAGTAACTTTTATTTTAAGTGTGTACATCTATACATTTATAAATAAAATTCATTTATATTTTATATGTGTATATAGAAATTTTTTGTTTTTATTGCTATATACTCAAAGCATAATTTTTCTTCTGAGGGCTGTTTTGAGGTTTTGTAAACTGATTTGTAATGTCATTAATTTTTTCCCAGCTCTTTTGAGAAATAATGGACATATAACATGTGGAAGTTTAAGGTGTGCAAGGCTATGACTTGATGCATGTATACTTGCAAAATGATCACTGCAATGAGGTTCGTTAGCACATTTATCACCTCACATTCTTTGTTATGTTAACAATAATGTATTATTCTATGACTGAGTTACTCTCTCTGTTATCATTTAGGAATACTTTTCCAAAAGATTTTTTTTGAAAATATAATAATATATCATTATGGAAATTTTGGAGAATACCGGAATGTATTAAGAAGTAAGTAATAATCACCGATAATACTATTTTGTAGAGACAATAACTGTTAGCATTTTAAGATACCCCTTTCAGTCATTTTTTTATGTACATATTCTTAAATATTGAGAGTATACCATATATACAATTTCATATTATGCTGTTTTGGATTGATATTATCTTCTAAACATTTTCCTATATAATTGAAAGCACTCATAATTATACGTGACGGTTTTATTATTATTTTTTACATATCATTTATTTAATCATAGTCCTGTTGTCGGATATTTATTGTTTGCTACATTCTGGTACATAAATCTTTGCGCTTCTGATCATTTTCTTAGATATGACTATACTGTTCCAGAGATGCGAATATTTTAGTCAGAAAAGTATTTCCAAATTGTCTGCCAGAGTGGCTGGACCCTTTACACTCTCAGCAGCATGGGGCTTGCCACTCTTCACCAGCCTGTGCTGTAGGTACTTCCATCCTGATGGAGAGACAGGATACCTTTTGTTTCTGATGAGTTCTGCTGAGCAGATATTTAGAAAAGTACATTGGTACTCATTGCTACTTAATTACATGTTAAAGGCTATATTTTAATCTATTATGCGATAACATGATTATGTTCTGTGCAATTTCTGATGTTTATCTTTACTGAGATTATCTTCATGGTCAGTGTGTGTGTGTGTGTGTGTGTGAGTGTGAACTGACCATGCGTTGATCTTACAAGGATAAAATTTTTCTCTCATGGTGCCTCAGAGGAGTTCACGCTCAGATGTTTATCTCCCAGATAAATTTTTGTTTTATGCAGAAAGTGAAACTGCCTCCCTCTACTGCGCACGGCAGGCTCTTGGTTCAGTGAGGTGTCTGCTAACCTGAGTTGGCCATATCTGCTTTCAAACTTCGGAGGAAAACTTGGAAATGCCTCAGACAAACCTTCCTTTGGGTCTCACTCTTCTCCAGGCCCATCAAAGCACACCAGAAAACAAAGCATTTCCTTATTTGTTCTCCCGACTCCATATGTGCATGTTGCCCCCTCTGTTCTCTCCAGGTGTTGGGGTTCCTGACGTCTGAAACAATGTCAGGCTTGGCTTCTTTGGGTCACTGTGTCTCCAGCCATAAGCCCCTGCACCCACTTTAACCCCATTCCTCACACCTACCCTAACCTATGAGGTAGGAAGGAATTTTCCAAGTGGCTGCATTCCTGGGCTCCCCAGCACTCACCTCGCTGGCCAAGTAGCTCCTGCACTGGAGCACAAGGGACAGTGACAGAGGCTGCTGGCTCCATGGGCAAAGTGCTCTGTGTTAGTTATCTGGGTGACAGAGGCACATAGAGTCCCCACCACACAACTACCCTGGCATTAGAGCCCACCATCCTCCTCCTCCCCTCCAGGACTCTCCATATAGAATCTAGTGAGTGTCCAAACCGCTCCAAGTCAAAGATACAGCACCAA